GGTGCGCGGGGGCGCCCCCTCGCCGTCTCCCGCCGCGCCCTCGGCCGCCCGCACCTGGGCGGGGGAGCGTCGCTGCCGCGACATCTTCGCGCCCCTGCCGCGCTGGCACCTGCAGGTCTACGCGCTCTACGAAGCCGTCGCGGGCTTCGTGGCGCCGGTCGCGGTCATGGGCGTAGCATGCAGCCGCCTGCTCTGCGCCTGGTGGCAGCGCCTGCCCCAGGCCCCACCGCCTTCAGCGCCCTGGTCGGCGACTCCGGGCCGAGCCCCTCCGCCCAGCGCGCTTCCCCGCGCCAAGGTCCAGAGCCTGAAGATGAGCCTGGCGCTGGCGCTGCTGTTCTTGAGCTGCGAGCTTCCCTACTTCGCCGCCCGGCTGGCGGCCGCGTGGTCGTCCGGACAGGTGGGAGACTGGGAGACCGAGGACCTGGCGGCGGCGCTGCACCTCGTGGGGGTGACCAACAGCGCTCTCAACCCCTTCGTCTACCTCTTCTTCCAGGCGGGCGGCCGCCAGCTCCTGCGGCGGCTGCGAAGGCGCCTGGGCGCAGCCTGCTGCTCGTGGGAGGGAAGAGCGGAGGACGATGAGGGGGCCGGGGGCCACCAAGCGCTTCACCGCCACCGCTGGCCCCACCCCCATTACCACCACGCTAGACGCGAGCAGCCCGAGGGGGGCGGCTTGCGCCCACCCCCGCCGCGCCCCCGGCCGCTGCCCTGCTCCTGCGAAAGCGCGTTCTAGTTGCTCGATGGCCAGACGGGTCATCTGTCGCCGCCACCCAGCCTCCACGGAACACGCGGCTGGCCCGGGTCTATCTAGATCATACCGGGCAGGAGAGTCCCAGACATTGGCCCTGAAGCTGTCCCCAGCCTACACTCTATTTCTTTCTAATGTTTACATTTCCCTACACTTTTCCAGTTTCTTCTCTCCTCTTTGGTTCTTCTCACATTTCCCAGTTTGGAGACGAGAGTTTGAGCCGCTGGGAAGTTGTAAAAAACAGTCAAAGACACAGAGTTATTTTTGCAGTTCTCTTTGACGCTCCCATAGTGTTCTGGATAAGATCGTTTGGTTTAGCTGAATTGTCAAGCTTTCATTATTTGCTTTGTTATCAAACGTTTTTTTACTTACTTTGAATCGTGTTTAAATCAAGTGTACCTTTGAGACCAGAGAATTTGCCTTTCTTTCCAGGAGGAAAATTGCCACACTGCTCTCCCTGAGGGGCCTGGAAATTGTACCAGTGATACTGTCAGAAATGTAACCATGCTGTCACCGCAGAGCTACAGAGCATTTGTAAAATAAAAACGTTACGCACAGAGCAATTAGTACTTTTTCCCCATGGAAATGTGTTCTCTCAGAAGAAAATCAGTGTGGCCTTTATTTCCAGTCTTCACTTCAGTAGAAGCCGGGGTTGTGGAGGGACACATAAAATAAGCTTCCCTTAGTCCCTTTCCAATACGCCCAGTTTCTTTAGGAAATTGTGCCTGTGCCCAAACTAGCCTCTACAGCTAAGGTGCTGTGCTCAGGTGGAGCCTCTCAACGCAGAGTCCTCAGCAAACTAGAGAAGGGAAACACCGAGTTGGTGTGTATGCGCCGGGCTCACTGTCCCAGAAGGTGCCTCATGGAGATTTGCAGCTGGGAAGAGAGCTGCACCCTCCCAATATTGCATGTCTATATAAAACTCCCCTTTTAAAAATGAAGGCAATGCCAACTGGCGTGGATTGCTGAGAACAAAGTCAAGAAGCAGATTTAATCAGTGACCTCCTCCTCTTAACTGTCCTTGGTTCTAGAAAGAAGTGGCAGCACTTATGAACAATATATCCACGTGTTTACCAGTGTCTTTCATCTGAGAATCTGGGAGCTTTCCATGATAGTGCTTCCTGTTCGTGCACAAATGCCAAACTAAGATGGAGCAAGGGGAAATGATCGCTAGAGTTCACTTGCGGAGCCAATGGTCTTGGAGGGCTTTCTTTGTTTACTTCACTGATGTATCCCAAACTCTTAAACAATGCTTGACATGTACTAGGCACTCAATACATATTTTTGAATAATTCATCATACGAGTCAGGCAAAGATAAAATGGATACAAGATTTACAAAAATCTCCACTAAGCTTGATTTACCTTTCTCCCAAATTCTGTCAAAAAATGTTAAGAGTTAAAGGTTTTCCTTCATCTTTTTAATCCTCCCCACCCTGCTTAGGATACCATGGTGTATAATATACCAAGAATAAGTCAGCCAAAGAGAGAACACAGTTGTCTTCATGACATTATTTTTATTTGTTAGCATTTGATACTCATTAGCATTTTTATTCATTAATAAACATTAATTCCTCATTGTGTACCAAGCAATGTGTTAGGCATTGGGCATACTAAGATGAATAACACACATCTTTCCCTCAAAGACCTTATAATCATACGTAGGAGACAATCTGACAATTACTGCACAGTAGCACACATGCTTTAATAAGAGTTCCAGTCAGGATGTTGGGTTACGGAAAAAAAAAATCTGACAACCTCAGGAGACTGAAGCGGTCATTCCAATGATGCTACGAAGGACCAACTAATGGGAAGGGGGGAATGGGTAAAGGTGGGGATCAAGGCAGAAGCACGGAGAGACTCAAAATATGACCTGTTGTGTCACTTTGAATGTTCCCAACTGAGAATTTAAGACAGCTGAGTTGCTGTTTCTGTTATCTGCAACTGAGAGCACCCTAACAGAAAAATGAGTTCAGCTGGTTTAAATTTAAATTTAAAAGTCCAGTGGTAGAGCTGCTCCAACGTTGGTTAGTTGAGTAGCTTCATAACTTCATCATCAAAGACCTAGCTTCTTTTCATCTTTCTATTGCCATCCTGAACTGGTGGACTTGACATTAAGGTCCGTACCCCTTGAGGTCACAAAATGGCTGCTACGGTTCCAGGCATCACATTCATATATGACAATGTCCAGAAAAGGAAGAATTTTTATTCTATAGGAATGAAGAAACATTTCTTAGAAGTCCCAAGCAGATGTTCCTGCATGGCTCATTGGCCAGAACTATATCATATATCCATAGGTAGACCATTGCAAGGGAAATGGGGCCACCATGATGGCTTAGACATGGAGCTGAAGATAGGAGTTGCACAGTAAAGGGGTGAAAAAAAACGAGACTTCCATTTTTTCTTTTAAGAAAAGAAGGGGAAATGCTTATGGGAGGGCAAGACTAAACTTTTATACAATTGCCAAATTGTTAGGTTGATTTTTATATAATCTGTTAGAGATTTTCATCTGTGCCACCTAGAAATTATAAGAAATCTCCATCTGGGTCAAAAACACAGAATACATATTCATGTAGTTAATTTGAAATTAAACTGTATTTTCCCAAGATTTTGTGGAAGAGTTGGTTGAGCCCAATTCATAGTAAAATACTTCCATAGCTAAGGAACTTCCTCTAATCTTAACTAAATCTGACACTTGAAGGTAGATCTAGGTGACTTGGTTCCCATCTTTAGAGGCATTTGTAGGTTAAGAAATTTGAAACATCACCTCAGAATTTGATCCCCAGAACCTACATTGCTATAGACAGCTCAAAGATTCAGTTCTGTCCCCATCAAGGAAGCCCCCAAAGGTTATTTTAAATTTAGGCTCTTGATTGAGTGGGACATACCATTCAAACTTCACAGCAAAGGAATGTGAACAGTTGACCCTGAACTTGATCTCTTTTCTAGGTATCACCTAAATAGAATATGACTAGAGGAGAAACCAGACCACATATTTGGAGTTTGGGAGGAATCAAATAACATATCCTCACCCACTGCACACTTCCCCTTGGAGTTAGATTTTAACTAGGCTGTCGCACACAGGCCTAGATTGTAGGACTCCAGGAGCCACTATTCATAGAGATGGCAATGTAAATGTCACCACCAGAACTTTAAAGCCTAAATACAAAGAATTCTATATATTTTTTTAAAAAAATAACTGGCTGCATGGTAACATACAGCTAAAATAGGTAAACATGACCTATTACATAATTTGAAGCAGAGAGTATGTAGGAAACAGCCAGGAGTGGAACTAAAATCACAATTAGTGACTAGCTATAACTCATTTGCTAAAAATAGAATAGTCAAGCTGATTTTTGGAAGAGGAGGTAGATTTTTTTTTTAAGCTTCCTAGGAAAGGAAGCTTCCTGGGAAACACAAAATAAAGTCAAAAAGTGGAGCAGTTTCCCTCCCATTCCTAAAATGTTCTGACTTGATCAAAGAGAAGATATTATAATGAAAATGAATCGTCTAATTAAATTAAACATATTTTGCTGAGTTGTGAGGCAGTATTATGAAAAGAGCAGTCTTTAGAGCCTACAGACCTGGACTTGAATTTCATCTCTATCCTTAGTAGCTGTGTGACTTTAGGCTGTTTGCTGAATCTTTCTGAGTCTTGGTTTTCTTTTTTCTTTTTTTTTCCTCTTTCTTTCTTTCCTCTTTTTCTTTCTTTCTTTCTTTTTCTTTCTTCTTCCTTTTAAGTCTTGGTTTTCTTATCAGTAAAAATGGGGTTTATATTATCTACTTCATAGAATTGATGTATGTAAAAATGTAAAATACTTGATGGGCGGCAGAATCCTGTCAGTCTGTCTCTTCAGATTCACCCTGGTACTCAATATATGATAGTTATTATTATTTTCTTTTTTTTTTTAAAGATTTTATTTATTT